GTCGCCGCTGCTGCTTGGGGCACCGCGCGGCGTGGACGCGGGGAGCGTGCCGGCGGAGCTGCGGGTCCGTGTGAGGCTGCCCGACGGCCAGGTGACTGAGGAGAGCCTGCAAGCGGACAGCGACGCCGACAGCATCAGCCTCGAGCTGCGCAAACCCGACGGCACTCTCATCTCCTTCACTGCGGATTTCAAGAAGGTGAGGCGCCCTCCCTGGTCCTGTTCCACCCCGCAAGCCCCGGGAGGGGGTTGCTTTCGAGCTTAGCCGTCGGAGGTCGCAGGCACCCTCAAACCTGCAGAAGAGAAAGGCAGCGCGGGAAGAGGGACATAACTTGCCCAAGGTCACGCCAGGCTCCTCTCTGTAACTCTCCGGCACCCAGATCTGTCCTTTATTCCCATCAATGAACTCCCGTGCTAACACCTCCAGCCTTCTGTTACTTGGCTCTGATCAGCTAAGGCCCTTCTCACGCACTTAACAGCCCCTGTCCCTGCTTCCTTCTCGGCACTCCCAGCTGACACTCCGACAAAGTGCGCGTTAACAAAGCTTCCCTTCTGGCAACAGTTTCTGTGACTAAAGGGAGAAATCCACAGGTGGCATGGGGACCTTGGTACTCCCTGTCGCTGTGAGTGCGGTATGAAGTCAGGTCCCTTTCCTCTTCTGTACTTGGCAAGGAAGTGGTTTCAAGACCTCCAGCCCTGGAGCACCATTCTGGGATCATTTTCCCGGCAGAGTTGTCTCTCGGCCTCCGGTCCCTCACAAGCCAAGGAGTTGCTCTCTCCTCCTCCGGGACCTGGAGGGCTGGAAAGCTTGCGGCAAGAGGACCTAGGAAAAGTTGGGGGAGGGGAGGGGAGGCCCCCTTCACTTGGAAAAGGTAGTCAGTGTTTCACCCAAGCCTGACGGGTGAAGTTTACAATTTTACTCTCTTTATACATTCTCTCTCCCTCCCTCCCTCCCTCCCTCCCTCCTTCCCCCCCCCCCCCCCCCTCCCTCCCTCTCTCTCTCTCTCACCCCCCCCCCCCGTGTGTGTGCTGTGTGTGTCATGGTGGTGGTGAGGGTGTGTGTGCAGTGTTTTGGAGGGAACCAGAAGAGGGAAAGAAGAGGTGCTAGGATTATCAGGAACTGGAAGTCAGGGGTGCTGGGTGACAGACAGTGACCCAACAACAAGAAGCATCTTGAAGAAAAGAAGATGGATAAGTTTTTGGTGAAGGGGAATGTTCTCACTCCTGTCATCCCAGTGCTCAGGATCCTAAGACAGGAGGAACGCAAGTTAAAATCTAGCCGGGATATATACAGAATGAGACCCTATCTTATGGGGTGTGGGAGGGGGGAGAATCTTCTAATCATCTCCTTTCAGCTCTTCCCCCCCTAAAAGGAGGCGCTGTGTCCCTCTATTTTGGGGGGAGAACAGAAGTGAGGCATATTAAATAGCCCATTAGCCCCCCTCTTGCTTTTGTGAAACGAATTATTTGGAGAGCTTGGGAGGAGGGGGCAGAGTACGGGCAGCCAGCTAGAGACCCCATGAGATTCTCATAGATAGCAGAGGTGCAGAGGAAATCTAGCCTTGGGTGGAGTAGGGGCAAGGCTGAACTGGTGATCTGGCCCAGACCCAGGGAGTCATCTTGACAGAGGACTTAACAGAATGGTAGCCCATGCTTGCCGCACAGGCCCAAGCTGGGATCTTAGATGCCAGCGGGCAGACAAGCCCGTGTGTGGAGGAAGGGGAGCTGATAGCCTAGGTAGCCACCTGAACTTTAGGAACATTTTATCTATGGTGTTCTGGGCTTGGAAGATGCAAATGGAGTCTGAATCAATCACAAGTGGGGATCTAATCTCCGCCCTAAACCCTCTGACCTAAAAGCCAGCCAGAGAATGTGTGTGCTGTTGTGTCCCACCCTCCTGCCCGTTGGCTCTGTGTGGTGACCACCCTGGAGCCTTATAGATTTAGCCACCTCTAGGCAAGACTTCTGAGAACTGAGCTGGGTGGGGTGTGAAAGGCAAGGGCTAGAGTGGAACTTTTCTAGCCTAAGGCTACAAAAGGCTACAAAAAGCTGTTATTGCTCTGCCTGGAAAGGAGACCAGGAAAGAAAGCAGAGAAGCACCAGGAGGCTGTGACTGGGGTGGTAGTGGCCTGCCCTGGGGACTGGACTGAGCAGGGGGCCGGGAACGTCCGGTTGCTCAGATGAAGACAACCTTCAGAGTGATTGGCATGTGAATCGCCATAGTGGCTCAAACTTTCACCTAGTTTTCAAAAGTCTGCTTTTCAGGTTAGCCGCTGACCCAGAGCTGGCATTTCACACCTGCTCCTGGCATCTCCAATTTCGTGGGGGTGGGGGGATGGGAGTGTAAGTCACAGAAAGTGGAGAGCCAGCTGTCAGAGGACTTGGCGGCCTCTTCTTTGGCTCAGGACACGGTGGAGTGGGGTACACAGGGACTAGGGAGGACAATGTTTAGTCTACTCTAGTGTGTTGCCTCTACTGGCCAGAGCCACTTTGTGCCTGGCCCTGCCCCCACAGGTTGCCTGTTGCTCGCTTCTCAAGGTTTCTTGTCTCAAAGCCTTTGTTAGATTTCCACTGGAAAGCTCCGCTTAGATGTAGTGTTTTTCTCCTGTAGAAAACGGCCCGGCTCTGATTTTGTGTGCCATGCCCATTAGGGACTGCTTTAGGGGGAAAGAAATCATCCTGAATCCTTTTGGGAATAGTGATGTTGCCATCTGATCACCATTGGGAGAGACAGTACGGAATGAATGAGGGAAGTCTGGTTTATCACTGGCGAGCTGGTCTACCTCACTCCGGTTGCTTGATCTCTCTGGGCCTTCCTTTCTTCATCTGTAAACTATAGTTAACTATGTAAACTATGATGCCTGTCCTGAGGTCATGGGCAGAGCTGAACATGGTGTGCCCACCCTGCCTCTAATGCTGTGTCAGAGGCTCAGGAAATGAAGAACCGTTAGCTCGGAAGCTGCCTCGCTCCACGTTTCAGCCAGTTTCTTCCCACTTCAGCTGGGGTTAAAGAGGTTAAAGGGTAGGCAATAGATCACAGAGAAAATCAACATTGAGCCTGAAGAAGACTAGAGTTCTGCTTTGTCCCCTGTTTTCTTTCTGTCTCAGAGACAAGGGCTCCAAATACAGTCTAGACTGACCTTGGCCTTGAACTCCCTTGTGATCCAGGATAGCCTGAAACTTTTTTTTTTAATCTTTTAATTTTTGAGACAGAGTCTTACTATGCAGTATGACAAAACTTTTCTTGAGGAAATACTATTCATAGATCTTCTTACCCCAGACAGGGAATCATGACAGACCAAAGTATAAAATGACCAAAGCCCAGCTTGTTGAACCAGTGAATTTTATTGGGGTTACTTACAGGAATATGGGTGAGGGGTTGCTTACAGGAGGAGAAATGACTCAAAGACAGCTGTATCACCAACCCCCCCCCCCCAGCATGGGTGACCACTCACAAGGCTGGGAACCTGGAGCTCACTGCACAGCCTGCAGGCACTTCAGCAGGTTGGAGAGTGTCCTTCCCCGGTGCCTCAGTCGGTCTAAGCCTCTTCCATGCACTTCCATTAGCTTTTGCTTCTTCCAGGCAGCTGGTCTGGTCTCAGCTTCCTTGAAACTCAGTTTTTGTTGTTTACTCTGGCAAGGAGGCGGGGGTTCTAGTTCATCTGATCAGTTTCAGGGACTCCCTTAGCTGTTTTGAGTTGCTTAACGTCCTGCTTCAGGGGCTTTTCCTCAGGATGGGCTGTTTCAATCTCTGAGGAAAGTGTTAGCACAGGACTAGCCTGGAACTCTTGATCCTCTTGCCCCGCTCACGGTCTCAAGAGATAGGGTTCTAGGTATGAGCCTCCACTAAGTACCAGCTTCTTCTGGAAGCTACTGGATCAATGGCCGGCCGGCCAGTGCCTGCTTCCCCCTCCCCCACCACACAACAGTCAACCATGATCTAAGCAAACTCAGGTCTTTGTGACACCCCTGTGCAGGAGGGGTCCCAGCCATTGCACCCTTTCTTCCCAGCCCTGCCGCCTGCCGTCCTTCCCAGGTAGGCATCCAACACCTACTGGCTGTTCCTTGCCTTGCCTGCACCTTGGCCCCCAAGCTGGTCAAGCAGGCCGTCATCCATCCGCTATGGGACACTAGAGCCCAGGCTCAGCTCGCAGATCCCATGAGCAGCATGGACTGTCACATGGCTGGCTATTCTGTGTCACTGGGAGGGCGCCCTTCCTCAGGCTGATGCGCACCAGGCTGACTGAGCTGTAGTTCTGAAAGAATGCCGGTAGGGTATGGTTCAGTGGCTTTGAAGAGCCCCCTGGGAAGTTTGCAGGCTCCTCACACCTAGGCAGAACCCCGTCCCACTAAAACAGAGCATCTGAACCAGAAGGTTCAGTCAATGGGGGTTCTTTAAGTTGAATGCCAGTCAAGGCTATGAAAATCCTGTTAAAGTGAGGTGGGGGCGCGGGGTTAGCGGTTGTGGATGGGGCTCAGTTGGTAGTGTTTGTGTACTGTGCAGGAAGCCCTGGGTTTGATCCTTAACACCACATGAATTGAGCATGGTTGTGCATGTCTGTAATCCTGGCACTTGGGAAGTCGATAAGTAGTTCAAGGTCACCCTCAGCTACGAAGTAGTGAGTTCAGAACCAGCCTGGGCTACATAAGACCCCCCCTTTTCTTCTTTCTTTCTTTCTTTCTCTCTCTCTCTCTTTCTTTCTGTTTTTTTGTTTGTTTTTTGACAGGATTTCTCTGTAGCTTTTGGAGCCTATCCTGGAACTAGCTCTTGTAGACCAGGCTGGCCTCGAACTCACAGAAATCTGCCTGCCTCTGCCTCCTGAGTGCTGGGATTAAAGGCGTGTGCCATCACCACCCGACCCCATTTCAAAACCAGCTAGTATGAATCTGCTATTCTTCCCTTGCTCAGACTCTAGTCTGTTTTGGTGCTGGGTATTGAACCCGAGGCCTCATGCACGCTGCCACTGAGCCTTACACCTACATCCTCCAGGCCCCAGTGTGCTGTAAATAGTGTTTATACTTTGGGCCTAAATTTATATGTCCTCCACACAGGAACTCCTACTCCTAGTATACACGGTGAACAACATTCTTTATCATCCAAACCCTGCGTATATAATCTGAGCTGCTGCATGTATATAGCCACTGAGCAAGTAATAGCGGGTGCGCCCCCATCTCTCTCTGGCTGCTTATCTGACAGTCTTCTTGGCTCCCTCCCCTTGTGCTATCTCTGTCCAAGCTCTCTGTCCCCCTGTCTGAATGTCCAAAACCAGGGGAAGGAATGAGTCACGTCGCAAGCAGCCTGCTTTGGGGCTGGCCACACAGGGTAGGTGAGGCTGCAAGATATGAAAAAAGTCCTGTGCGATTGCATCAGGGTGGTGGGGAGAGGAGGAGGAAGAGGACATCCACTCCAAAAGTGGAGAAGAAAGGGATTGTGGGGGTTCACAGGCTGAAACTGGGAAGAGAATGCCAATATCAAGAGTCGCATAGTGCCATGGCTTAGCCCAGGGTTACTCGAAAAGGCCAACAACTCAGGGAGATTAGAAACTTGCTCCCTGTCCTGGGTACCAATGGGTAAGTGGAAGCGAGAGGAAAGAACCATCCAGGGAGCATCAGAGTGCCTGTCCCAGATCAAGGGTGAGGTTCCTGTGGAATGTTGTTAGTGAGGACTTGCAGTATTTACATGGACACTGTCCCAAGAGGCTGTCATATCACATAGTTGTAGGACAAGAGGAAAAGATCTTCAGGTCCTAAATCACACCTTTTGTTGGGTCCTCTATGGTTTGGCACGGAAGACATGATGGATTACAAACCTTGGATAGCAGAGAACAGTAAAAAAAAAAGTACTTTGTGTTTGGGTTTGTGTGCGGAGTTTGATGTATGCATGTGTACATGTTCATGTGGGTACAGCTGCATGTTAGAAGCCAGAGGTTGGCATCAAGGGTCTTCCTCAATCACTTTCCACCTCACTGAACCTGGAGCTCACAGACTCAGCAGGACTAGCTGAACTGATCTTGGCCAGTGAGCTCTAGGGAGTCCCTTGCTTCTCCTCCTGCCCAGCACTAATATTATAGGTGTGTGCAATCATGTTCTGCTCCTTACACGGGTACTGGGAATCTGAACTCAGTCCCTGATGCTTGCATAGCAGGGAGTTTCCTGACTGAGCCATCTCTGTACCCCCCCCCCCCCCGACGTGCTTTCTGAGGAAGAACTCTGGAGCACAGAGCATTTTCTCAGGAGTTTACAGGAAGTAAAGAGTATGTGGGACTCTTGGGTCCAATTCTAGTCCTTCCTCCATATCTGCTTAACTCCACCTTGGGTCAGAGTGCAAAGTCTTGCCTGTGATCAAGTACGCTCCCTCCCTGGCATCTCCCACCCCTGACAGAGAAGCTACGTTCAGATAGAGTCCTAACCTGACTTGTGGTGAAATCCACCCCTCAGAGTCAATAGCATAGCCTGCTGCAGACGAAAAAGGGGGGTTGTAGCAGGCTTTGTCTTTGAGCTGCCAACCAGCTCCAAATACAGACACAGAAACTTATTGTTGATTATGAGTGCTTAGCCTTAGCTTAGGCTTGCTTCTAGCTAGCTCTTTTTTCTTTTCTTAATAAATCTTTTTTTAAGATTTATTTATCTATTATGTGTACAGTGTTCTACCTGCATGCATGCCTGCAGGTCAGAAGAGAATGTCAGATCTCTTTATAGATGGTTGTGAGCCATCATGTAACCAGTTGCTGGGAATTGAACTCAGGACCTCTGCAAGAACAGTCAGTGCTCTTAACTGCTTAGCCATCTCTCCAGCCCCTCTTTTGTTCTTTTTAACTTAAACTAACCCATTTCTGCTCATCTGCGAGCTGCCCTAAGGCTTGTTTACCACATCTATGTACTGTCTAGCATGCTTTCCTGCTTACCCCCAACTCACTGGCCTGCCTTTTCTCTCAGCCCATCAGCCCCACCTATCCCTCCTCTGCCTAGCTATTGACTGTTCAGCTTTTTATTAGACCAATCATGGGCCTTAGGCAGGCAGCAACACATCTTGACATAGCTAAACAAATGCAGCATAAACCAAAGCAACACACCTTTACACGGTTTAACAAATGCAGCATGAAGAAATGCAACCCATCTTTATATAGTTAAACAATTATTCTGCAACACAAACAGATGCAACACATCTCTACTTAGTTGAACAAATATTCTGTTTCACAACAGGGCATGGGTGGAATTTGTTCTTGAACTCCTCAGATTAGAGGAGGTAAGCTCACACAGACACCTACCCCACAGGCAGGCAGGCAGATGACCCAAACTGGAGATGCAGACTGGGTATGTGGCATCCTGTATTGAACAGTTACTCTAATCACACATATGGTCTTAATTGTCCACACTGCTGCAACATGAGGCACATTTGCCTCCACTCTTCAGAATCACACACTCAGCTTGGAAGTGACATTGGTGACAAGATCGGTCAGACAGCTGGTAGTGACTCAGGGTTAGCTCCCAGGGATCCTTGTACCACATTCTGACTGATTGGGCTCCTCTGGCACTCCGCGTGGGCTTCTTCGAGAAGGATGGAACACACTGTGGAGAGGCAGAAGGAGTGTGGAAGAACCCAGTGCACAGGAATCCACAAACACTTCTTTATATGCAGCTGGTATGGACCCTGTTCTCCAAACTCATAATTCCCAGGGAATCCACGGTTGATTTCTCAGCAGTGCCCTGGGTGGCTCTGGAGGGTGAAAGGCCAGGTCCCCAGTATTGCCAATCACTCCCTGCATTTTTCTTCCCTTTGCTGGCTGTGTGATGCAACAGGTCATTTAGCCTCTGTGAGCCTGGACTGGAGCCTGTGACTCTCCCGGGCAAAGTGACTGAGGGGATTCTACAGAACAAGGGACCTATGAAAATATATGTAGTCCCAATACAGGCAGCCAAACAGGCCCTCCCACTGCATCTCTCCATCCCTACGTGTAATTCCAACTTTTTTTTTTCTGCACTAGGGACCAATTCATCACTAGGAACTTCTGTCCTTTAAATTGGCCAGTGTTTACTTACCTGTCAGTGGGGATTCGGATGAAGGACAGGGAGTGAGAGAGGCTGGAATCTAAGTGAGAAGGAAGTGTGGTGCCCCATGTCAGGAGCTCTGAGTCAGCTAGACAGTGGGGAGCAGTTGATCCACATAAAGCCTCACATTGTTCCCCTGGGGCAGTCAGGATGGCGGTGACCTTTAGGATTTGGCTGACAGAGCGTGAGGGGCTCTTGGGAAGGCTGGGAACTGGCAGTGAGGGGCATGGGTCCTGGGAGTAGTTGTACTAACCCCATAACAAGAAGCCTCTGTCCAGGTCTGTGTGCACAGTGGGGGTGCCTATGGCTCCTGTGCCGTCCTACCTCTGGGTTGAGCGCATCTGGTCCTCCTCCTGGGAAAGAGCCTAGACAGAGCTACAGAGGGGCTCCTGAGTCTGCCCTCCCCAGCCCAGCCTAGTGAATCTGGCCCCTGTCTGGTCATGAAGCAGTTCCAGCCAGGAGCTGAGGGATAAATATTTAGATTGGCTCAGCCTGGGCCCCAGAGTCAGGAGCTCTGGTGATGAGGAGATGGGGATGGCAGAGCACACTCCCAGAAGGCAGTGAGCCCCCAACTGGCCAGTAGCAAGGGGAGTGGGGCTAGAAAGGGTGGGGGTAAGTACTGCTTTGTGCAGGCCCAGGAGCAGTGGCCAGTAATGTCTGGCCTGGGCTGGCTGGCTCTCTCTCTCTCTCTTTCTCTCTCTCTCTCTCTCTCTCTCTCTCTCTCTCTCACACACACACACACACACACACACACACAGAGTTCTGCTCCCTGAGCCCCCGTAGGTTTCAGCTGCTCTGTAGTGTAGTGGAAAGAGTGATGAGGAAGGGTATCCTGGAGCGCTGGGAGCTGGAGTCTGGGAGCCTGAAAAGAGTGAGGGGAGCCGAGGTGATGGTACATGGCTGGCAGCTCCTATGTGAGCAGAGTGGCTGGGCAGTGGGTGAGATAATGTGTGAGCCAGAGCCTGCTGAGGGTGTGTGTGTGTGTGTGTGTGTGTGTGTGTGTGGTGGGAGCCAGAGCCTGCTGAGGGTGTGTGTGTGT